TTCTGCTGAGCTGTCTGAATTAGTCCAAAAGTAAGTAAATAAATTATTATTGCAAAAATAAAGATTTGTGCTATTAGCAATTTTGGCTTCAGTAATGTAAGCAATGTGGATATTATTGTAAAGACAGTAATTTTGCCATGCTTCTCTTTTGGTTATATTATTAAAACCTCTAACATTATGTATAACAATTGTTAAATAAAGATTACAAAGCTTTTGTATAGATATAGAAGTTTGTGAAGATGCAAAGTAAGAGCTAATTTGATTATGATTTTGATTAGAAGAATTATGACTAGAAGTATAGTTTGTAGATGTTGAAGGTATAGGTGATAAGCTTAAAGTATTGTTAGTAAGATTTTGCAAAAATGAAAATAAATCTGCAGGTAAAGATTCAGGTTCTTCATCAGAAGTTATAGGTAATAAAATTGGTGTTGTGTTTGTATATGATTTAAGAAGTATATTATATATAAAGTAGGTTTGACTAGACCAATTTGACTATTTGACCATTGACCGGTTTGGTCTGATCTTGTGATACTGGTCAAATCGGTCAAATAATCTAGTTACACAGACTAATATGACCAATATGACCAGTTTAACCATGGTTATATTGGTCAAATTGGTCATATTGGTCTGTATAACCTGATCAACCTTACACAGACCAATATGACCAATATGACCAGTTCGATCATGATCATATTGGTCAAATCAGTCATATTGGTCTGTGTAATCTGATCAACCTTACACAGACCAATATGACCAATATGACTAGTTCAATCATGGTCATATTGGTCATATTGGTCTGTGTAATCAGATCAACCAATAATTTGTAGCTAAAAGTCCAATTCTCTTCGCGAGCCCTTTACATTTCACCAATTTTAAGATCTATCTAATATGTGCCTGAGAGTCTAAGTCAATAAGATATTTTGTATTTGTAAAGAAAGCATAAATATTTAAACAAATCAGATTCGATCAATATAGATCCTATGCATATAATATTTGGTAAGTCTACTATTGTAGGGGTTTTTATTTCGGCAATTTCTATATTGCTAACTAAATCTATTAAAATTCAATATTATTATTTATTCTAATTACATTATGCCAAGGTATTTTATAGTTAATCTTTTAAATGCAAATGTTAATAGCAAAACTAATTTTTTTTTTTATTATAATAAAATTTATCAACCAAATAGCAGTTGCATTACATTTTATATTATAATTGGTCCTAATTGTTCGAAACTACAAAATTATTCTCAACATCTTACTGAAGAGTACGAACAAATAAAAGTTGTGATAAAGCATGTGTAAAAAGGTATTTAAGTTCAATCTTTGAACCTTCATGTTTAGCTGAATGACAGTTTTGCATGTTAGAAGTTGTAGCTAACTCTTCAAAATCCTCATTTTCATTGTCACCATCTTTAGTCAATTCTCTGATAATAGCTTTGTCGTTTATTATTTCTTCATCTTCATCATTAGAATAATCATCACTATCATAATTATTAGTATCATAATCATTTTTGTTAGGCATCTCACCATCATCAAGTATCAGAATATGCATATTTTCATTAAGGTCAAGTGCAATTGGGTTGTTTATCTCATTTCTTTGTTCAAAACTTGATTCTAATTGGTTTTCACAATTATTTGAATCAGTAATATGATTTGTGGTAACAGTTTTGTGAATTTTTTCAGCATTATATAAGTGTTCTTCCCATGCCATCTCAGCTATGATTTGAGTCATTCTAAAGATTGTTTGTAACTACAACAAGATAAGTTTTATTAAAATAAATTTACAAAATTCAAATACATTGCAGAGTTTAGAACCGGTTTATTTCTCATATATTAAAACTGGGCTTTAATATATGAAAAATAAACTAGTTCCAAACTTTATTATATTGTTCTTACTTTAAGACGATTGCGTCTCAGATTTTGAAACCATCTCATTCAGGAAAACAGGCGCTCACATGGTGCAGAATTAACTTTAATACTGTATAATCTTTGTGCGACTTTACTAATCTCTTTTTGATCAATTGCTGCAAATTTCCAATATCGCAATAATGCGAGCCCAATTACATCTTTTGTTACATTTTCTGTTAAGATGGTGTTAATGGTATTTTCAAATCTCTTATCACTAAATATACCACGTTTTATATAGTATTCAGTTAGTTCCAGTGCGATATGCTTTGGTTTCACATCAAACCATATTTTATAATAATATTTGATCTAGCGTATTATTCGGTCAAGAGGAAAAAACGTTTTATCAGACAAAGCTTGAACACGATATTGTGGATGAAATATAATTGCCAATAAAAGGAAAGGTTGCTTCCAATCTGCCTATCTTTTTTCAAGTTTTTTTCGCATTTTGTAACCAAATCTATAAATATCATTTTTGTATTGCTGTGCTACATATCCGAATGCATAGGCAACATCAAAAGATTAGCCACATCATGTTGAAGATAGTCTAATATGCTAACAAAGGATAGAAGGTGTTTTACTAATTTGTCAAGGTATGTCCAAAATTGAGGGTTATTAATAGTAGTGGAAGATTTGTCTGTTGGATATAAGATCGAATATAACTGCAGAGCGTGTTGGCTTCTTAGGATCGTTGCAAAACAATAATAATAAGAATTCCAACAGGTGGTTATAGGAAACACAAAGCTATATGTAGTTTTGTAAATTCTCTGCTGCTCATCATGAAGTAATGATATTGCCTTAGTATATCATTTATCAGTGAAGTATGATACAATTCTGATGGCATTCTTTAATGCTTTTTTATATTCAGATGAAATTTTAAAGATATCACTAACACATAGATTTGCTTGATGTGTGAAACACAGGAGAAATATGACATCACATTTTTGTAATCATATTTTGCGCCTAGTAAATAAATTTTTGTATTATTCCATGACTATGATTAAAGATTTTTTCTAATTTTTTTTTTTTTTTGTATAATCTATATATATCATGCGGAGACATATGCTGATGTACTATCTGTTACCATGTCCACTACATTAAGATTTTGTTCTTTAGCACGCTCAAAAAAATTATGAATTGTATTTAGTACATCAGGAGTCTTTTAACTATGATCACTTATATCCTCAGCATCCTATATATACAGCTGATTTGTTGCAGAAAGAATAACGGCATCTAAAATTTCCTGGCAATGCACATTTTTCTAACCGTTGAACATAATTGTAACTGGTTCTTGTAATTTAGAGAGAGTAAAAACTTTATCTTTTTCTAACTTTTCTGCATACTCAACAAGAATTTTAGTGCTTATCATTGGACGATTTGGAATTTTAACGTTCAGATTAAAAAAATTAACAAATTGACGAAGTGTACTGGATTCAATAAAACGAAATGAAAGACTATTTTGGACTACCATACGTAGGAGAAGACGATTAAAGTCATGCTGTTGACTAGTTAATAATGGACAAGCAATATACAAATCGAGTGTATGATTTATTTTTTTTTTTTTAGTATACCTTGTTTCATCTATGTGTGATGAGTTTAAGAAGGTTTCTGACATTTGTGTATAATTGCTTGAAGCTCTAGAATTAGATGAGACAATGGACATGGTTGTATTATTTCGTTCTTTTTCTTGTCGCAATGCTCTAACAGCATTATATGCTATATTTTCATTAGGGTCTTCATATGTTATTATTTCCTGATCTTCCTCAACCCAAAACCCACGCCAGTATGGACAATGCTTCCAGTGTCGTTGTACATGATTCTACCTATTAAAAAATCCACATTTTTCATATACTTTCTACAATTCAAGATCTTCTTTTTCACCCTTTTCAAATATGTGTTCATAGTGTTCACAAGCTTTACATATAGCCCATTTAGCTGTTTGATTTGGACCTAGTTTATCTTGGACATGAATATATTTCGTTAACCTATGAGAATGAGCTTGAGACATTTTTTTTTTTTTTGTTTTTAAAAATTGGGATATTTAATACTGATTCATATTTTTCAATATTCGTTTCATGTAGCTTTTATATTGGAATGATTTTATTGATATAAACGATTTGATATCAAACTAGCATAACTGGTCTGCATAAAACTGATCTAATTCAAGAGCAAATTCGTGTTAGATTAATGATGAGATTTGAATGCCTTGTATGAAGAGGTGAGTCAATACAATTTACAAGAATGTATTTAGCTTATTCACAGGCACAAAGAAAATAGGCGTTTTATTGCTATTGTCACGTGAATCCCATAAATTCCACATACTACTATTGTCTTCTCGATAACATGTTGGAATTTATGGAATTCATAAAATTTTATATCGTGCTAATCAACTAATTCAAAAATAGAAGATTCATGCACATTTATATTAAATCAACACTAATATTTATTCATTCTCGTGAATCTGTATTAATAATTAAATTTCCCGAAACCTGCAGTGATAGAACCTCGTCGGTTCTGCCTGCTCAAGTAGAAAAGCAGAAAACTTGCTTTGGTAAAATTTGCAAATTATTTAATAATTGATTAATTGATGATTCTCCAGTCAACTGAAGAATGATCATAGTAAAACGTGACGCGGTTCTATATATAAATTACTATAG